TCCTCTTGTTAATTTTTCTTTTTGGCAAACTCTGAACCATGGCCAAAAACTATAATGTCTAGCTCCTGGGCAGCCGCTGGACCTCCGAGGAGCCTGGTAAAGGAACTGATTCACTTCCTGAGGGCTGACCACGGGCAGAGTCCTGTGGAAGGTGCCAGGAGAACCAGGGAGGGGTCCTAATGACATGGAGGAAATTGGTTAGAAGATACGTGTTCCCTACAAGATGAAGTCCTGATTCCCTCATGACCAGGCTGCTGACTGTCTCTCTCACCTCATCTCCTGCCCGTTCTGCAGCCCCTCTGTTGTTCGCCTTTCTCCGCACGCCACCTCCTCCTGCCTCCAGGAGGGCCTCTGCAGGGCTGCCGCCACGGCCTCCTTGCCAAAGGCAAACATTCTCCAGCTCATGCGTTATTTCTTGACAGCCTTGTCTAGTACACACCCACTCACGATGTTAGGCGTCAATAAAGCACTTGAAACATGCCCCTACTGTAGTGCATATCACATTTTTACGGTCTGTTTAAAAATCAGTTTATTCATTCAGTAAATATTTTCCTTATTATGTGCCAGGCACGGAGGTAGGGGCTGAGAACACAGGTATGAACTAAACAACCCTGGCTGCAAAACGCTCACAGCCCGGTGGGAAGACAACACTCATCACCCTTTAAGAAGTGCCCTAAGCAAGGAGAGCAGGCACAGGGGCTTGGCCCCTGCAGGACCAGGACACTGATCAGCCTAGGTGAAGAAAATTGCAGGTGGGGAGTTTCGGGAGGGAAAACCAAGAGTTTGGATTGATTCATTGATTGATTTTGAGATAAGGTTTCACTCTGTTGCCCAGGCTGGAGTGCAGTGGTACAATCATAGCTCACTGTAAACTCAAACTCTTGGGCTCCAGTCATCTTCCTGCCTCAGCCTCGGGAGTAGCTGGGACTATAGGCACACGCCACCACGCCTGGGTAATATTTAAATTTTTTGTAGAGACAAGATCTCGCTAAGTTGCCCAGGCTGGTCTCAAACTCCTGGCCTCAAGAGATCCTCCTGCCTCTGCCTCCCAAAGTGCTGGGATTACAGGTGTGAGCCACTGCACCCAGCCAAGAGTTTGGTTTTAGACCTGTTCAATTAGATATGCCGGTGGAGATGCTGAGTAGGCGGTTGCATATGTGAGTCCAAAGTTTGAGCGGGAGGTATGACCTGGAGCTACACATTCAGGAGGCGCAGGCATAGGGATGGTAGCTAAAGCCAGAAACATGAGATCCCCAAGAGAGGGTAGGTAGGGAAGAGAAGAGAACTAAAAACTGAGCCATGTGTCTCCCCACCATTGGACCTTCCTCGTGTTATAGGGAAGAACACAAAAGTGCAGAGAGGACCAGTGCTTTGCCCCAAGTCACAGCGCAGAAACAAGGCAGAGAGAGAATTCCAGTCCAAGGTTTGCAGACTCCAAAACCCACAGTCTTCCCATTGCACCCTTCTAGGAGCCAGCACGTCCAGTGACTGGGAGCAGCTCCCACTGAGGGCCATCTCCATAACTGAGTTTCTTATACGAATCCAGCAGGAAGCTTGTGGAAATGCCGTGTAGCAGGCTGAATAATGACCCCCAAAGATACCAGGTTCTAATCCTGGGACCTGTAAATGTTACCTTATTATGGAAAAAGGGTCTTTACCATCGTGATTCAGTTAAGGATCTCAACATGTGGAGATTGTCATGGTTTTTCTGAGCAGACTCTAAATGTAGTCACAAGTGTCCTTATACGAGAGAGGCAGACAGAGGTATGACATACACAGAAGAGAGGGCAATATGACCAGGAGGCAGAGAGTGACAGGGTGATGCAGTCAAGGCAGGGAATGCTGGTAGCCACCAGATTCTGGAAGAGGCAAGAGGAAGAATAAATTATCTCCCTACAGCCCCCAGAAGGAGCACAGCCCTGCTGAAACATTGGTTTTGATCCAATGAAATGGATTTCAAACTTCTGGCCTCTAGAACTGTGAGGGAATCAGTTTCCATGATTTTAAGCCACTAAATTTGTGCAATTTGTTATAGCAGCCACAGGAAACTAATCCAGGCTGATACCAAGGACATATGCGCAGAGAGTTGGATTTAGTGCATCTGCTCTTCTGACAGGCGTCAGAGTGATTCTGATACCCACCATCCATGGACCACACTCCCGGCCACTCAGGCAGGGGACTCCTAGGAAAGGACTTAAACCCTTGAACTAGGGGTTTTTAGTCTGGGCTCCATTCTTCCATAGAATCCATAGTTGAATTTCAGGGTGGGGGGGCCATACATTTCCTTAAATTGTATGTGGATGTGCAAACATGTTCATATTTTTCAAGAATGAGTTTTTTTCAGATTCTCAAAGGGGTCACAGAAAAGGTTAAGAACTAACTATTAATACTATTCCAAGAACAACCAGTCGAGGTGTGTAAACCTGGTCCAGGATGAGTGGGGAGGAATGAAGCCTCTGAGGGCTTATGCTGAGCCTGAGTGGGAGGGAAGCCATGACAAAGACTGAAGGAGATTAAGAGCGGCATCTTGAAGTCTCTATGCCACTGAGCACGCAGGTAGCCCTGCCCCAGGGCGTGATGAGAGGGTGACACAAGACATGTCCCTACTTTAGCAAGATGGTTAGTGAATAGATTATCTTTGGGGAACGGTAGGTAGACAACCTCATCAGAGGAGCCAGATCTGGACAATCACAGGTCGGTATCTGAGGGAGATAAAGGCAGACATGACCATTTATAAGCACACTGGACATACTAGAATCCCCAAGGAAACAGAAGGCAGGGATTTCCGACTGGGATTCCTTCAGTGGTGTGGGCAGTGGTTCAGCAAGAAAGACGCTGTGGGTGCTTATTATTTGTAGACTATGAGAATCTTGGGTTATTCATTTTTCCTTCTAATTTAACCCTTTGAATCATTCCTTAACTGATACTCATTTTATATTTCTCCCTCTTAATGGTTTTATTATTTTAATTTTGGTCCCTTTTGGTTAATATATTTTAATTTTGCCTTTCATAGTTCAATAGCTTGTTTAATGTCTCCCTCTCCTACAGGACTGTAAGCTTCACAAAGGCAGGGATACATGTCTGTTTTGCTCAACAGTGTGTCCCCAGCTCCTAGCACATTTGAGCTGCTATAACAAAATACCTTAGACTGGGTAGCTTATAAACAACGTATATTTATTTCTCACAGTTCTGGAAGTTAGGGAGTCCAAGATCAAGGCGCTGGCAGATTTGGGGTCTGGTGAGGGCCTGCTTTCTGGTTCATGGACTGTGCCTTCTCCATGTGTCTCCACTCATGGCCTAATTACCTCCTAAAGGCCCCACCTCCCAATACCAGCAAATTAGTGATTAGGTGTCCACATATGGAATTTGAGGGGACATTCAGGCCATAGCAATGCATGACATATAGTATTTCATTTCTCCTGTGAGTGGTCATAACTTTTAAAAATGATTGAACCAGTAGAATAGTGTAGCTCCTTCGGAAAACAGTCTGGGAGCTCCTCAACACATTAAAAATAAAGTTACCATATGACCGGGCAATTCCACTCCTAAGTATATACCCAAGAGAACTAGAAACCTATGTCCACACAAAACGTGTACACAAATGTTCATAGCAGTATTAGTCATAATAGCCAAAAAGTGAAAAAAAAAACAAATGTCCATCAACTGATAACAGATAAATAAAATCACTGCTATGTCCATACAATGTATAATTATTCAGCCATAAAAAGTAATTAAGTATTAATACACGTAACATCCATGAACCTTAAAAACACTATACTAAGTGAAAGAAGTCCGACACAACAAGGTCACATACTGGCTGATTCCATTTATATGGAATGTCGGAAATAGGTAAATCCAAGGTGACACGTGGAAGGTAGATTCGTGATTCCCAGGGCTGGGAGTGTTGAAGGGGAATAGCCAGTATCTGCTAATAGACAGGGTTTTTTTCGGAGGGTGGGGAGTGGCGATGAAAATGTTCTAAAATTAGATAGCGATGTTGTTTGCACAGCTCTGTGGATACACTAAAAATCACTGAACTGAACACTTCAAAAGGGTAAAGTTTATGGTATCTAAACGATGTCTCCGTGAAGCTGTTATAATATTTTTAAAAGGAGAAAAATTTATACAGTCATGTACCATGTATTAAATGCTTTAAGCAAATTTACTAAAACTATAACAATAGTTTGTTTTCAAGAACAGCAGCCCTGCCTACCTGAACTGTGCGCCGGTGTGACTGGATGGGAGCGCGGAGCCCAAAGACAACCTGGCTCCCGGGCTGCGGGGGCCGCGACCGGGTGGCGACTGGGTTGGGGCGGAGGGTGCAGTTGACAGCTTCAGAAAGGAGAGCGAGAGGCAGAGGTAGGGGTGTTTGTTCACCCGCACGTCTGTCCCCTCCTTCCTGGCTTCCCACCCCACCCTCTGTATTGTACCTGGTTCACGATGACCTCGGGATCCCCTGCTCCCAGCGCCTCGCCAGCGCAACTGTGTATTGTTTGACTCGGGAACTGCGGTGAATTAAAGAAGGGACAAAGTGCGTTACGGTGACCCGGCAGGGACTCGGCCCCCAGAGCCCGGAGGCCCGCCCGCTCTGGCCGCGGGATTTGGGAGGAGGGCGCCCGCACAGGGGCGGCGGGGAGCGGGCGCCGAAGCTGTCTCGGGGGCGGGGGCCGGGGCCGAGCCTTTGTGCCGAGGCCGCTTCCGGCTCCCGCCGCTGGGGGGCGGCCTCCGTCCCGCCGACCCCGACAATAGCGCGAGCCGGGGGCGCCGCGCGGGCCCGGAAACTTTTCCCTGGAGCCGCCGCCCCCGCCGGGAGCGCGCCCATCTCCGCCCGCGGTCAGTGCGCCCGGCTGCGGCCGCGGCGGCGGAACGGAGCCCAGGCAAGGGGGCGCGGGGCGGCAGCGCCCGGGGCTGCCCGCGTGGGGGCGGCGGCGCGCGGGTCCCCGGCCACGCGGGAGGCTCGGGCACCCGGCCGGGCGGAGCGCGCCGCGCCGCGCCGCGCCATGGGGGAGGCACCCAGCCCCGCGCCCGCGCTCTGGGACTGGGACTATCTGGACCGCTGCTTCGCCCGCCACCGCGTCTGCATCTCCTTCGGCCTGTGGATCTGCGCCTCCTCCTGCTGGATCGCCGCCCACGCGCTGTAATGGGGCCCGGGACCCGCGGCGCGAGGGGTGGCGGGTGTGTCGTGGGGGGAAGTGGGCGCTAAGCCCCAGGTACTCCCTCTTGGAAACCTAGAGCAAGGGGCGGAAAGGGGGGATAGAGAAAGCACAATTCCAGGATCAGATCTATCATTTCTCTGTAGACCGAAGTCGGGTACTTCTTTCCGGATTCCATGCACGGGGAAGCTGGGCTGTGAGCCAACGGGAGCAGTCCGGGTGGTGCAGTGGATGGGGCCCTGTCCTGGACACCACGAGTCCTGAGTTGTGTTGTCAGCCCTTCCCCATTGACTCGCGGTGTGAGCTGCACAACTTCTAAAGCCTCTGCCTCGTGTGAATGGGGATGAAACCTCGCAGGATGGATGGGATGAATGAGTCAGTACCGGCAAGGCACTTAGTAAGTGCTCATTAAAGGTCATTTTTATTGCTCCAGCTCTGCCACGAACTCTCGAGACCTTGGTAAGTCCCTCAGTGCTTCTGGCTTCAATTTACCCAAGACCCTGTCAGCTGGACAGCGGGTGGTGACGACCTGACTCTGGCCACAGTCTTTGCCTTGGTCGTCCCACACCTGGAGTGGTTTGACCAGGGGGACACCATAGCCTGAGTTCTAAGAGTGAAGTCTCCAGGTCTTCAGCCACCCTGTCCGAAGCACAGAAATCCACAAGCAGGGCCAAGGATAGTGCCAGCCACGTATTCCCTGGCAGGGGAGAAAGGAGAGCAGCCCCGGGGGGAGGCGGGAACTGACTCACCTTAGCACTCAATGGATATTCCCCTCAGGCGTTTAATGGTGCAGAGATGCTGCAGCCCAGCACCCAGTGACTGGAATACCAATACACAGGCGCTCAGCACATTTACTGTGGGTTCAGTTTGCATTTATTAACTCATTCAGTCCCTGCCACAACCCCATGAAGTGGGTACTGTTATTACCCCCACTTTCAACGATCCCTGAGGTCCTGAGAGGTTAAATAGCTTGTCTGAGTGAACGGAAAGGACAGAAACCCCAGATCCTACTGAAGAGGGCTCGGTTTGTAAGATTGAAACTATCCGGACCAGAGGCTGGAAAGTGCTGCAGCGCTGTACACGCAGTAGCGCATTTCTTCCTCACAGCCATCCTGAGGTCAGCGCCATTAGGCATTTTACCAGCCTGGAACCCTACCGCTTGGAGAGGTTAAGTAGTTCCTTCGAGAAGGCCCGGCTGGCCAGCCTGAGAGCAGAGCGCCTGCCTTTTCACCCTACGTGGCATCTGGACATAGCCATTTGTCTTCAGGACCTCTTCATCCCTGAACCTCCATTTGCCTTTGGGGAACGTGTCTCTTCCGAGGGGTGTGTGGGCTGGGTTAAGGTGAGCCCAGGATCCTTGGCCCCAAGAGCTGGGGTAGTGGCTGAGAACAGGGTTCAGAGCAAAGCCTCCACATATAGAGCCAAAAGACCTGCTGTTAACTTATCTTATCACCATAGGCCTCAGTTTTCTTCTCTCTCAAATGGGAGGGTTGAAATAAATTATTTCTAATTTGGGTCAAACTGTGAGAATCTCTGAGTCTCTGCTTTTTGGCCTTGAGTTAGTTTCAGGAGCCTAGGGCCCAGATTAAAGGTTGATGTTCCCACCGTGAGCTTCGGGCTTGGCCGGCAGGTTGGGAAGTGTTTAGGAGTCCCAGAGCCTTCTGCCCTCATCTGTGACTCCCAAAGGCTGACGCTCAGAACCAGCCGAACAGTCCTGAGGGTGTGGAGGGCCACGCTCTGGGTAAAGGAAATGAAACCAGAGCTGCAGTCATGCATCAGTTTCTCCTTAGAAATGCAGCAGGGAGACATCTAGAACAAAACATTTCCAAGATCCCATCGATGCAGACAGAGAGACCTTGGCCCCTTCTAGCCTGTCCTGCCCTTCTGCCATGTTCCTGGGTGGCTGGGGAGTGGGAGAGGGCCATAGGGAGAGAAGCCTCAGCGGTGCTGTGGGAGGGCACCCCAAAGTGCCAGAAGGCAGGAGTTTGCTCTGCCTGTGTGTAAAGAACATGCTCAGCTTGGACGCACGCCAGCAGAAGCCAGGCCACCCCACTGCAGGGATGGAGCAGAAGAATTTCACTTTGATTTCAGAGAAACAAGTTGCCTTTTAAATTTAGGCAATTAACTCTGCAGTTAACGGTAGCGGTGGGGTTATGTTTATAACCTTCCTGCTTCTATTTTAAAAAATAAAACCTGGCCGGGCACGGTGGCTCACGCCTATAATCCTAGCACTCTGGGAGGCCGAGGTGGGCGGATCATTTGAGCTCAGGAGTTCAAGACCAGCCTGAGCAAGAGCAAGACCCCCGTCTCTACTAAAAAAAAATAGAAAGAAATTCGCTGGACAACTAAAAATGTATAGAAAAAAGTAGCCGGGCCTGGTGGCGCATGCCTGTAGCCCCAGCTACCGGGGAGGCTGAGGTAAGAGGATCGCTTGAGTCCAGGAGTTTGAGGTTGCTGTGAGCTAGGATGACGCCACAGCACTGTAGCCTGGGCAACAGAGCTAGACTCTGTCTCTAAATAAATAAATAAATAAATAAATAAATAAAACCTGACAGCTAGTTTTTTTATTTTTTTTTTTTTTTGAGACAAGAGTCTCGCTTTGTTGCCCTGGCTAGAGTGAGTGCCCTGGCGTCAGCCTAGCTCACAGCAACCTCAAACTCCTGGGCTCAAGCAATCCTTCTGCCTCAGCCCCCTGACTAGCTGGGACTACAGGCATGTGCCACCATGCCCGGCTAATTTTTTCTATATATATATATTTTTTTAGTTGTCCAGATCATTTCTTTCTATTTTTTTTTTTTTTGGTTGAGACGGGGTCTCACTCTTGCTCAGGCTGGTTTCGAACTCCTGAGCTCAAACAATCTGCCCGCCTCGGCCTCCCAGAGTGGTAGGATTACAGGCATGAGCCACTGCGCCTGGCCTGACAGCTAGTTTTTAAGTGCTGTGTGGTGGGTCATTAGATGTCGGCCTGATTAGGAGGAGGAAGGTAATTCTTCTTCCTTAGAGAGGTGGGTGTCCCACATCTCATGAGGTCTAGCTCCTACCATGGGCTTGTTGACCTCAGGCTTTGGAGTCTTTTGATCTTTTCCCGTCTGTAAACTAAGTTCCCGAACACCTGCTAACTGCCTGTGGGAGAAGGTGCCCCATAAGGATGTAAAGTCACAGTTGCCCTTCTCAGGTGCCTGCTCAGGCTGTCCCCAGACTCATGGCTCCTGTGTTCTGTCTGCACCCCTGTCACCCCAGGCTTCTCTATCTGAGATGTGCAAAGAAATGTGGGCAGGGCCAGTCGGCACTGTGCGCCGCGTGCTGCCTCCTGACCAGTCTGTGTGACACCGTCGGGGCTGTTCTAGCCAGACAGCTCACCATCCAGGTATGTCGGGCCCACAGGTGACAGTGCTCAGCCCAGCACAGGCCTGGCCTCCCTTTCTCTGCTGCAGCCATGGTGGCTTCTGTCTCATTCCTTCAGCATGCAGAGCACAGAGTCACCTCAGGGCCTGTGTCCTTGCCGCTCCTTCTGCCCTGGAAGTGCTCTGTTCCCCACGTCCACACGGCTCACTGCTCACTCCTTCTACTCAAAAGCCACCTTCTCAGTAAGGCTTCCCCTGTTTAAAATGGTGACCTACCTCTTCCACTAGCTTAAGCTCCCACACATCATATACTTACTATGTTTATTGTTTCTTGTATGTTAACCCCACTAGAATGTCAGTTCTACAGGGCAAAGATTTATCTACTGTCATGTGCCCATCACTTAAAACAGCTCCTGGCACTTAGTAAATGCTCAGTAAAGAGCTATTGTCACAGTTACATGAGCTCCAGCTCATGCAGGGATGGCTGAGTCCTTTCCCAGGTGGCGATATGGGCTTTGGGGAGAGTGAGTAGTTTCAAATTTCCCAAAAGTCTGGGCCCTCCACCAAACCTGTGTAGAAGGGTCCTATCCCAAAACACAGATCCCGAAGGAAAACTGTTGGACCCACTGTGGGGGCCGCTCATGGGGCTGGTCTTGGCCTCGTGCCTATCTAGGTAGAATGAAGGAGGGCAGCCTAGTGGTCAGGGCACAGATTTGGAGTGTTCTAGACCCTGCTTTGAGCTGTATCATCTCAGAAGCAAATCACCTTTCATTCTGGGTGCCCATTAGCTGATAGAATATGATGGGGCCCAGCTCAAGTCCAATAATAATAGTTAAGAGGAAATACTTAACTACATACTGGGCACTAAGGACTTTTTATGTATTAACTCATTTAATCCTCACACCATCCTATCTATGACAGATGTGTTCTCATTATTCCTGTTTCACAGATGTGGAAACTGAGGCATAGAGAGGTTAAATAGCATCTCTAAGGGCACCCATCTAGTAAGTAGCAGGATTCAAACTCCACACTACATGCTCTTACCCACTGACTCTACTCTCATAGGGGCTGGTGCCTTTACAGGTAGTTACTTTTCTCCAGCACTGGTCTGAGCACTTCCTTGTGTTAAGTAGTCTGCTTGACAGTCTGAGGGAGGCCCTATTATTATGCCTATTTTACAGATGAGGAAACTGAGGCTCAGGAAGCTCAGTGGCTGGGCCAAAGTTACACAGCAGAGGCTGCCCCATGCAGGGGAAAGAGCGTAGAACAGGAAGCGGAGAGCTGGGTTCTTACCCATCTCTACCGAGGGGCATCTGCATCACTTGGGATCTGTCATTTGAACACTCTGTCACCTCATCAGTCAAATGAGATGTTAGACTTTTCTCAGGATTGGTGGGAGGCGTCACGGGACTAACATATGTGGAAGCAGCACATCAGTGTAACCCCGGGTCGAGGGATTCCAGGAAGACAGGCACTGCCGTTGCTGAAGGAAGATGATTGACCACCAAGACTCTATTTCCACTTGCTCCCAGGTTTTCACTGGTGCCTACCTAGCAGCTATTGACTTGGTGAACTTTGTGTTCATTCTATTCCCAGTCTGTGGATCCAAATTCAAGTCTAATTCAGGTGAGTGTGTGGCTGTCTGTTCCTGTCTTCATTCATCCATTCATTCATAGGTACACTGAGTGCCTACTCCTTGTCATGCCCCGAGCTGGGCCCCAGCCAGGCAGACAAAGGAGCGAGGTCCCCGACCCCAGCCAGATGGGCTGGGGGCCCTAAGCAGTCATTAGAGCTGCTGGTTCCGAGATGTGTGCATACCGTGCAAAGCCAGAGTCGGGGTCAGGGAAGCTCGGGGCGTTGGACCAGGCAAGGCATTCCAGGTGGACAGGACGGTGTGGTGAAGGCCAGGAGGAGGCTGCGGTATGGCTTTGGGGGTGAACAATGATATCTCAGCATGCAAGGCCAGGGTGGCCCAATGAAGCCCCACAGCTTCTGGAAGTGGATGTCAGGACTAGGCGTGGGCATCACAGGCAGAGCAGGGGATGGAAGTGCATGAGACGGGCTGAGTAGCCCTGAGTATCTGCAGCTGGGAGTCCCTGAGAAGGTACAGCAATGTGCCTGGACCCTTGTCGAAAAAAGAGGGAATGCTTGCGTCCGTGGGTAAGGTAGCGTGCCTGCGGCTGCTTGCTACTACCCAGGGAAGAAACGTTCTTACTAGAACTGTTCGGAGGAGTGTCCATCTCATATTTCAAGGAAACTTTCAAAGATGCTGCTTATTGCTGTTTGTCCTGCTCGGTTTAGGTGTGTTGGCACAAATACAGTCACTCATTGATGCATTCCCCAAGTGTGTGCCGGTTCTGCTCTGCGGAAATCACAGGAACCGCCAGAGCATCGTGCCGTCCTTGAGATTCTAGTCTAGGAGAGGCGCTGCTGTCTGCACGCAGGTGCATATGATAAAAGATAACGTCATCCCTGCCTGAGGAGGGAGAACAGCGCCAATTGTAGGGGTGGGGAGGAAAGGCCTCTTAAAGAGGTGGCACGACCACAGGGCCTTGGTGGGTGGGGAGGATCTGGCCTATAGAACAACGTGGGAACCCATTCCGGCATCAGGTAGAGTCAACGCTAGTTTTTCCCACGCAGCTACCTGAGGAGTTCTGGGTTCCAGGAGCCATGTGGGATCTTGGTGTCTGTTGCAGATGGGGGCTCCCGAGGCAGGAAGAGGAAGCAGCGGCTCAGGGCCAGTGTATTTGCCCTGGCCCTGCCGCTGAGCCTGGGCCCGTGCTGGGCTCTCTGGGCCGCTGTCCCAAAGTCTTCAGCCCCCATCCGAGGGCCGCAGAGGAGGCTGCTGGCAAGCGTGCTGCAGGTGAGGCTGAGCCACCACGGGAGGATGTGGGGTGGTGCAAATGCCCTGGGGTGGGCCCTCGCCTTTGTTAGAAGAAACCTTCTAAAAGCAGAAAAGGACTCCTCAGGTTTGGCTGCTTCTTGGGACACAGGGACAGTCTGTGCAGAGTGCTGACAGCCTATCACCTGTTCTCGCAGGAAAATACCGAACTCCTCGGCTACCTGTTGGGCAGCATCGCTGCCTTCGGCGCCTGGGCTTCCCGGATCCCTCCACTCTCCAGAATCGTGAGGCTGCGGCAGGGCTGGGGCTGTGGGTCCTGGGGCGGAGCTGTGGTGTCACTGTATGTGACAGGGAGGAGGGGGTATGTGTGGAGAGTGGGCAGCCGACCGAGGGTGTCCTGAGGACTGCAAGAGCCTCTCAGGGAAAGCCCACTGCCTTCTCTCCCACTTCCTGCAGCGAATGAGAAGCAGGCGTTCAGGACAAAGGCCCTGGGGCCGCATAAACAAGTGTCCCCTTAGAGCGCAGTCAGGTCCTGCAGCTCTGCGCAGACCAAGTATCTCGTTGGCAGGTATTTTCCAAGCACCTGGAGTGAGGGAAGCCCCTAGTTGGCGAGTCCCGTGGGGGACACAGACAGGAGCTGAGATGTGTTCTCGCCCTTGGGGCTCTCACGGTCTCCTGGAAAACACGGAAATGTGAAGCTGGATCTCTTAATGCTCTAAGAAAGAAACAAATGTTTGGGGTTTTGGAAGAGAGAAGGCTCCTACGCTATTCAAATGAGAGAGGGTGAAAACTGTTTACACTGTGGGCCGCAGGTGGTGGGGAGGTGTCATGTTGGCTCAGAAGGGAACATGGGATTTGAGGAGGCAGAGGCTCAGGATGGCAGTCCAGGCAGAGGACAGCACACAGGAAAAGCCACCGTGCGGGATGGCATCTGGGACAGCTAGTCATTGTGGACGTGTGGAAACTGCTCTGCCGAGTTTTCACTACAGACACCTCAGATAACTGTTCCTGTCTGACAGGAACAGTGGCCAAAGCCAACACCGTGAAATGTAACAGGCCCATCATTTAGTCTAAAAAGAATCACTTGCCCAAGAACACCATGGTTCCATGGCAGTGCCAGGGAACAGGATTGGGGCATGGCAGGTGGTTATTGGTCGTTTGTGTGACGCTTCAGCCTGTGCCAAAACTGCCAGAAACCTCTTGGGCAGGGACCTCCCCAGCAGGTGACAGAGGGAGCCAGGAGCACTGGGCTGGCTCAGCAGCCCCTTGGGTACTGCGGGGTGGGGGCTGAGCTATGTCACATGAAGACCTTTGGAGGGACTGGCACTGTGCCCTGACCACCAGCAGTTACTCCGTAGGGCTGCCATAATGAAGTATCACAAACTTTGAACAGTAGAAATTTCTTACATCGTGGTGCCAGAGGGCAGAACCCTGAGATCGAGGTGCCGGGAGGGCCATGCTCCCTCTTCAGGCGCTAGGGAAGGGTCTGTCCCAGGCCTCTCTCCCAGCTTCTGGCAGTTTCTTGGCTCATGACAGCATAACTCCAGGCTTCACATGGTGTTCTCCCATGTGTGTGTCCCCACATGGCCTTTCCCCATACCTTTCTGTGTCCGACTTTCCCCTGTTTATAAGGACATTGGCCCACCTTGTAAACAGCTAAGTGGTGGTCAGTAACAGGCACTCTGCTACCGGTTGTGTGTCAGGTGTGACGGGGCCCAGAAGAGGCAGTTACTTGCTCACCTTAGGGTGCAGGTGGAAGGAGAGGTTTCCGGAGTTAAGGTTCTGAAGTATGATAGGAGTTCAACAGGCAAAAGAAGCAACTTGAGCAAAAGCTGGAAGTTTAACAGAAGTAGTGCCCTTGGGGACTGACGGTCGGCAGAGGGCTTGCCCCCACCCTGCTACATCACTGAGTGCCCTGGGTCTCAAGATCCAGCGTTCCTTGCTGCCCAGCCCCCTCCTCTCTCTCTGCCCAGTGCCAGGGGAAGATGTTTTCCTGCATCCACCTGTGGACCCGGCTCCTGTCGGCCCTGGCTGGCCTCCTCTACGCCTCGGCCATTGTGGCCCATGACCGGCAGCCCGAGTACCTGCTGCGGGCCACACCCTGGTTCCTGACCTCCCTCGGCCGAGCTGCACTGGACCTTGCGGTATCCACCCCAGGGCTGGGGAGCTGGCCTGCCTGCAGCCCCCAGAACTCTGTGTCTCATCCCCACCCTACCCTACGCCCCGTCACACCGCCTTCCCTCTTGCTAGATGGAACTTTCCCAGCAGTCAGGGAGGTGGTTTGCAATCTAAGGCAGACAGACACAAATGCAATTATTTGCAGTTTTGTGTTTTCCCTTTTTTTTTATGAGAAGAAATTATCTCTTGGTTGGAGCTCTCTGAAACAGCAAGGAGGAGTGTGAAGGTTCCTGGCCCTGAGGTGAGAGGACCCAGGTCCCTCAGACCCAGGTTCCAGTCTCAGTTCTATTCCCTGCCTGAGCATCTCATCCTGGGTGGTCCCTGCGGTCCTGGCCTCTTCTCATCCTTGCCTTCCTCACAGGCTGGGCAGGGCTTTGCCAGCTGCCCCCAGGCAGGGGAGTCGCTCCCTTCCTGCTCTCTCTGGCAGTGGGCCTGCCCTGGAGAGGCAGCGACAAAAGCTGAGGAGTGCTGCCATTTGCCAGGGACTGCTGAGCAGCTTCCTGGTCTGCAGGGGATGTTGCCCGAGGTGCTGACACCCCGGTGACCTTGGTGGAGCTTGAAGGGCAAGCTGAGTGCAGACAGTAGGCGCGAGGGAGGAGATCGCCGGAGATGCTGACAGCGAGCAGTGGCTGCTGTGGTGGTGGGGTGCGGTGTGAATAACCCAGAAGTCCGAGGCAAGGCAGGGCCACCGCTCTGAAGGCTCTAGGGAAGAACGTTTTCCTGCCTCTTCCAGCTTCTGGAGGTTTCTGGAGTTCCTTGGCCTGTGGTGGCATAATTTTAATTTTTTCCCCTGTCTTCACATGGCCTTCTTCCCTTTTTGTATCTCTGTTCTTCCCTTCTCAGAAAGACTCCAGTCATTGGAGTTAGGGCCACCCTAATCCACTGTGAGTTCATCTTAACTAATTACAGCAGCAAAGACCCTCCTTCCAAACATGGTCACGTGCTGAGGTTCTAGGTGGACATTAATTTTCAGGAACACTATCCAACCCACTGTCTATACTGTCACTGTAAGCCAGGCCGTTCAAGAACAATGTTTTTCAAAATTCTTTTGTTTAACATGTATTTACCACACACTTGTTAGAAACAGCGTCTTTTTTGTTTTTTTTTTTTTTTGAGACAGAGTCTCGCTCTGTTGCCCAGGCTAGAG